GGCAGGGGCCGAGCATCATGCGCATCCTGTACTAAACTACAAAGACAGAGACTGAAGCCCTAGCCATAACCCAAGAGTTCACGACAGCATCTTTACTAGGCGTGAGTGAGGATCTCTTCCATATCTTCAGTCTACAGTTCGGCTTCCTGTCGTCTCACTAAAGGAGAGGATGTCGTTTTGTATCGCGTCGTTGCTGCTGAAGTCTGTGAGAGTCGCACATAAGGACGACGCAGCCCAAACAGGCACGTCACAGCCATGTTGCGGGGAGAGTTGAATTCCAACAAATCATTTCACATCCCTTTCCCGGGGAGGCGTCAACCCCGACATCCATTTTTCCAGCTGGCCGGAATGGGCCGAAATCCAACGGGCAGCTTCAACATCCATTTTTCCCAAACATCCATTTTCCCAGGTCCAGGCGTCCAGACATCCATTTTCCACATCCATTTCTCCAGGGGCCGGAATCCAACATCCATTTTCCACGACCCTTCCAACATCCATTTTACATCCATTTTCCCTAGCAAAATGCATGTTTTCGGGAAGCTGGATGGATCCTGGAAAATGGATGTTTGGAAAAAATGGACGTTGGAAAATGGTGTCCGGAACAAATGGTTGTGGAGGCCGAACGTTGGGTTCCGCCCCCCCTGACAGGTTCCCTGGAAAATGGCTGCAAACTGCATGTTGGAAAACAGCCTCCCCGCAACATGCCTGCGACGTGGCTCTGGGCTTCGTCCTCCCCACGCGACACCGACAAAGTCACAAAGTAGTCTTAGCAGCAGCCATTCATGCAGCCTGACCATGACAAACACGGAGATTTTACGAAACAAAATAAGTCTCGGAGGCCGTCGTTCTGGTCTCGCAAAAGATTTTGCGGCGCCGGTTTGAAGCCGGTTTGGTGGAGCCTAAATAGGATAAGCCTCAGTCTCAGACTGTCTTAAGATGTGAGGTTCGGGGTTAGGGGCACGCGTTCCCTGACATCATTAGCCAAGTGTGATGCAAATCTCAGGGCTCCGGACCTAATCTGGCGAAACTACGAGGACGTCGCTACATGCTACGGTGTTACGATGTCGTTATGTACCGAAACCACGGAAGAAGTTTATCGCAACCATGCTGGATTGGTGGTCAGTCTAACCAAACCCTGCAGCCCTTAAGTCCTAGAGCCCTAGAGTCCTATAGAGCTCTTGGCTTGGAGGGCCAGCCTCGCGCTGCTGCTGTAGCAGCTGCTGCAGTTGACCCTGGAAGTCAGCTCCACTCTCAGGGAGCAGGAGGTCATAGACGTCGCAAGGTCCATGTTCACGCTGACGTTGTAGAATATCCTGCAAGGATGCTGTTTGAGCTCAAATCAAAGGCTCCAAGCTTTCAGCGGAGTCTGGAACTTAAGGCTTCAGAGAGAGAGGAAAGGGCCGGGCTGAGCGTACAGGGCACAGTGCACAGTTCTTCTTTTTAGGTGTACCGGGCATTTTGGATGCGCTTTAGTCTGAAGGCTGGGGCTTGGCATGTGCACCGAACGTTCGACGCCGATGGAACACAAAGACACGGAGGAGTGCTCTAGACAGATTCTTTTCTGGGCATTGTTTGCTATGCGAAATGCACAGAGTTGGTGACTCATGCTTCTGGAGAATTTTCGCAATGCTTTGAGGGTTTGCATCGGTTTTGTGTTAGCGCCGCTAGCATCTGCTTTCCACGGACAGAGGCTAGGCGTGTACAAAGCTACTGAGCGACTGCCTGTCACGGCAGTCTTGCGCCCGGCGTCCTGTAGCAATGCCTTGAAGGCACGAACGTCCTCCTGGCTGTAGATGTCCTTGCGGAAGAAGACCATGTAGACCCTGCAGGAGGCGCAGAAAACAGATCTGCTTAAAGAGCCAGAGAAGAGGACCCTGCACTGTGTATGTCAGATGAATGTCGGCTGGCTGGACAGTCACTCCCAATCAGTTTCGCAGGCAGCACTGTTTGTTTTGGAGCCTCGCGTAAAATTGAAGGCAACACTGTCGGAACTTGATCTGGTTCTGTGGAAAGGCCCAGCAAGAAGAAAAGCGTGAGACTCGACCGACTAGACACTCGTGGCTCCAAGCACTGACTGACTATTGCCCCTGCACCCGTTGCACGTGTACGCTGCGCATTCTACACGATTCTACCCCATGTGACAACAGTGGAGACCGGCATGTGTCCAAGACAGGTCTTAGGTCCTAGGTGACACGCGTTGGCTCTTCGGGCTCACCCTCAACTTGCGGGCGCTCGTGTTGCAAGAAGACATCAGCCCCTGGCAGGGTCTTGAACCACTCACGCAGGCGACGGCGCTGCTCCAGAGAAGCAACCTTTGAAGCAACATGTTCTTTGGAAGTAGCACAATCCGCGCAGGAAGCCAGCCAAGCCAGCAGAGCGCCCACAGGTCTGCCGCTGCCGACACGACGTCCAGCAACGGACTGGCGCTGTCTCGTGCACAGCAGTCCATGCTGGGCGCAGTGTGCCCGGAAGTACTGGCCTTTGTCGCTGTAACGTAGCTCTCCACGGACAAGGCCCCCTGCTGGCAGCTGAAAACAGAACTGAGATTCGCGCGGCTGGACCCGAGGACCCCGATGCACTACATCGGCCGCAGCTGCGGCCTCCATGTCTGGAGCTGCTGGGGCACGCTCTGGCTCCTCCTCGACTTCAGCATCGAGCTGCTGCTGCACGGCCGCCGGCAAGGCCGGAGATTCAGTGTCCACTGCGGGCACGGATGGAACGAAGTCCTGGTCCTCTTCGTCGTCGTCCTTGTCACGGTCAGCTTGTCCAGCTCGCCGGTCCTCCAGCCATGCGAGCAGCCCCGCCTCTACGTCGACGTCGCTGTCTGAGTCTGCAAAAATGTCTCCCAGACCTCCTGCATCCACATTCTCGTCGGCATTCTCTTTATTCACCTCCTCATCAGGCCCCTCGTCCGAGTCTGACGAGAAAACAAGCCCAAGCTCCGCCGCCTGCTGCCCCATGTCGTCGTTCTCCTGCTTCTCCTCATCCGACACATCCATGCCCAGAACATCGTTCTCCGGCTCCGGCACAGGCACGCCATCGACCGCCTCCGTGGCTCGCCGTCGCCGTCCCCCAGATGCGCGCTGGGCTACAGTGGAGCGTCCCGGCCGCGTGCCGGTCCCTGCAGGCCTTGCGCGCCGCTTCTTCAGCTCGGTCTGCTCTCCTTGCCAGAGTGTCACTGCTTCACCATCTGCCAGGACGTCTACATAACAAGGAAGCATACGCATGGATGACACGGTCTTGTCATCGTCCAAGATGCGGTACTCTTGCAGCTTCCACACGAGCTTCGTGTCGAGAAGATCCTTGACCAGAGCCGGCATGGACCGCAGATCCTTGAGCAACTCTGGGATTGGGAGCGTCCCCGGCCCAAGTCCATCCTGACGGTCTCGTCCGATGCGCAGCGTGAGCGTGGGCTCCGGCGGACAGGGAGACCCTTCCGCTTCCACTGGCTGCAGCTGCACAGCCGCGACCTGCCACGTCAAGTAGTTGGTGTATCCTGGCCAGAAAAATACAATGTCACCGAGAGCAGGAGCTGCACCCGGTCGCACGGTAGAGAGGCCAAAGACATATTGGCCGGCTTCATAGAGCTGGCGCTTCTCGGATTTCAGGCCGCGCTGGCACCAAAAGTTTCGCCTCATGTGCTTGGAAAACTTTCTGCAAAACGCGGCCACTGCGGGTAGGCCGCAGAAACAAACACCAGCTTGTGCACAAAGGCCACGTCCGTGCAGCTTCGGTGTCGACGGCAGATCTTGCAGTCTGGCATCGATGTAGCTTCGATGCGCGGCCTCCCACTCCCTCTGCAGCATCTGTGCGAGGTATGCATTCCGCGTGTCGTCTGCGCCATGAGGGCCTGGCCTCTTGCTGGACAGCGCTGCCTGCAGGCTAAGACTCTCCTCTCTAACTGCCACGCAACTATTTGCGACAGGCTTGGGGGCTTAGGGCGGAGGCTGTGAACTGGAAGGCACTCCCATAGCCAGCCTGGCTTCAGCCCGGAACAGAACTCAGGGAAGACACTTCACGAAATCGCAAAAGTCTGCGTGCGAAGTTACGACTCAGGCCTTACTGAACAAAGCGTCAACCAAGAATCACATTAGAAACACCCCCTCGTCCCATGACTAGCGCTAGAAATCCTCCATTGTGAGGTCCTCGCCTTTGCAAAAGAGTGCGGGTCCGGCTGCCAGCGACGATGCTGCAAAGAGTCCAGGAGAGAAGAGCCTGGGCAAGTGCTCATCGCACGAGGCTGTCCGGGCCCGGCTGCAGCGACCATGGCCGCAGACATGGCGGGCTCTGCATCGACGAAGTCCTCGAGTGGCACTGCTGCAGCAGCCTCCCGCTGTGCCAGAGCTTCCGCCCGACAAGTTTGGGCGACCGCCTGTCTGTAGACAGCCAATCTTCCAGCGAAATCCTCCTCCGGCAGTCGCAGCATCATCCTCTCACAGATGCTGCACAGGTCCTGGTTGGAACCTTCAACTTGCACAAGCGCTTGTTCCGCTGGCTCCCGCAGCATTTGAAAAGGCCGCTTTGCGCCCTGTCTGCCCGCCAGGCAGGCCCTGGCACCTTCCTCGCAGAAGTGCTCGTACTCGTCCGGGGAGAGCGCATGGTATTCGCGCGAGAGCGCCTGCATGTCCTGTGAACGGAAAGGTCGCCCGCGACATCTGTCGCGCAGGAAAGCTCGCCATGCACCTCCATAGCGATGTTGCTTGGGCTTTGCCTCCTGCTCCATCTCGGGCGCATCCCGTCCTCGGCCAGGAGCACGCGGCTGCGGCTTTGGCTTCTTGAAGTGCTTGCCAAACCATGCACACAATCGTTTCGCACTCAGTCCGGGGCGTGACCACGCCCTCGGGACATCACGTATTCTCGAAGAGAGCTGTGGGCAGATTCTAGGCCGGCTATGTCTAGCTCCGAAAATTGCGCCAGAGCGTGCAGTGATGCAATGGCATCGGGAGATGTCAATTGTTGTGGCGTGGAGTACAGCTCCAAGAAAGCTTTGGACATGTCGTCTCTGCAGCACTTCGGCTTCTTGAGGACGGCCTCTGCCTCATTTGGGTCGATCAGAACTCGGAACAGGCAATATGGAAATCCTTCGGCAGCAATGTGCAGCATGTACCAGACGGAGCAAATGAGACTGTTGAGCATGCGAAACATCCGGGAGCGAGCACGGCGAGTGTACATCGTTGCAGTGAAAGCTCGGGGCACTCTGAACAGTTGTTCGATGGCCTGCGCAAAGAATCCTGCGAGGTACTCCCCAGAAGCAACCAGCAAGGCACGGTAAGTGCGACATCCGGTTTCCAGGGAGCGGCGTCGCTGGTTTTCTTCCCACGCAGGACTCGCCACATGCATCTGCCGATAAAGCAGCTGCAGACCCGGCTCCATCACCTGTCTCATGACCACCAGCCGTTCTTGTAAATCAGAGGCCGCCGCAAAGTCTGCAGAAGCGGCTCTGCTACGACGGTTCATCTCTGCCCACTGCTCGGACGTGACAGCCAGCATGTCCGGCACGGCCTGCTCTGTCTCTGCCTCTCTGTCTGAGCCCTGTGCGGCGGCCTGCGCAGCATTCGCAGAACTGGATGCCCGGGAGGCGGGAGGAAAGTCAAAGTCCTCCCAGCTGGATGTCGGCGCAGCATCAGCGGTCTGCTCGACGTTGACAGTGGGACTTGGACTTGGCCTGCCCGTCACAGCTGCTATCACACGAGGAAACAAGTTCCAGAACGAGGACAGAAGGCCGGCGAAATCAGTCGGCCTATCAGCACCAACCCACGATTTGCGCGACAGGATGCCACATCTAGCCGGAACTAGAGCCCACGAGACATAGCGCATGAAAACTGCCCGTGTGGCACCAGGTGTTTCGCAGCATTGCGATGGACAATAATGCAAGATCTGCGACTTTGACAAGTCGCTGTTGCACATGGTCTCTAAGATGTAGCGACGACTCATATTCACGCGCTTGCTGGCGCCCGTCGCCTGTGCGCTACAGAACAGGTCCAAAACCTCGTGGCGCTGTTCCGCTACGGGGCCGCCGGGAGGTTCGTCGAATATGATCTCCAGCTCAGCGGCGAAAATGTGTGCAAGCACATCCCGCATTTTTTGGGCGGCCCCAACGAATTCGAGGGCCAAGCCAGTTTGAATAATGCCACTCGTGGTGCAGGAATCTTTGCTCGTCGCCATCTTCAGACAAGAGGCTGCTTTATGCACGAGACAAGGAAACAAAGTTGTTTTCTGGTTTTCCGTGACTCCTTGCACTGCCTGCTCTGCCAAGAGGTTGGCTCCGTAGCGGTCAATGACCGCCATCCGCACGGACACCGGGAACTTGGTACGAAAGCACTGCAGCTCCGGAATCTTGTCGCACATGTCTTGCAGAACATGAAACTGATTCTTGGCGGTGGTTCGGTCGGCGCAGTATATGTGACTCGGTACGTCGCACTGCACCATGTGGTAGCGCTGTGTTCCACACTCTTGCACCACGAAGCCTCAGAACTACCGGGCAGCACAGATATCTACGATCCTACAATTCTGCCACTGATATCATGCATTTCTGCTACGCTACGCGTGCAGCTATTTGTTAGATCGCGGCAGCTAACAAGTCAAAGGCTCCTGCAGCGCACGGTTGCCCTACTCTTAAGCATACTCGAAACCTGCCCTAACGTAAGCGGCCCGTTATCTCGGAGGGCTCAAAAGGCCTCAAGCAGCCACGGTTGTGGAATACCGGCTGTTCAAAAATCGCGAAAGAAGGCCCCTGCGGTGGTGAAATGTTCTGCACGTCTCCCATGCTTTCTAAAGGTCCTGTGACCCTGCTAGTCACGAAACAAAAACAATTCACCATTTCACGCAGACGAGTGGCCCAGTGCTTGGATGGGCCGGGTGGTTGCT